TGTAGAGACTAAACATTCGATATACAGTCAGACCTCCCTAAGTGCAACCCCTCTATGTGCAATTATTCTCTAAATGCACGTTCTGGTTTGGCCCCAACTTATAGACATATAATATTTTTACCTCCATAAATGCAATACCTCTCTAAGTGCAAGTTCTTGTATGGTCCGACGAGTTGCACTTAAGGAGGTCTGAATGTAATTTTAATTATCTTGAAATGACTAAATTTATATTTAGAAAAAAGTGCTTAGTTAGAATCGAAACTATTGCAAACTGCATTTGGTTGATTTTTAATTTTGATTGCATTATAAAGTACACAAGCTTAGCTGCAGCTAGAGTGTAAGGCTTTTATATTTAGCACCTCTGCATTCACACAAATCCTTTATCGTGAATTTTACGCAGCGATTGTGCTACTTAAATATTCTAAGTTTTGTACCAAATCATTTTCATGATAGGAATAAATATTTGCGAATACAACTATCTTTTGCATAAGTTATTATATTACATAATGGTTTATTACCAAGTGCAATACACTTTAGAAAAGTCGGGATCTATTTTTGAAAAGCTTTGTATCTGAAAACAATAAAGTAACTTTCATGCACATTAGAAATTATTCATTTTACCTCGTTTGTAAACTTTAATTTAATTTGCTTTGAATTACATAATGATTTCAATACAACTTTGCATTCACTACATAAATTAATCTGTTTTCCACATACAGAAACTGCCAAAATTTTACGCTCCACGAAAATCATTACGCAAAAATTTTCTAGCATCCCCAATATCAATTCAATGCGCATAGTTTCTATACTAATTTTAAAGCTAATTACATGAAGAATTTTTAAAAATATATAAAATATTATTAATCCCATATTGGAAAAATCGAGAGATCAACATGATTCTTTAATTAGTAAAATTTTGACATCAAATACGTACTTTTCTTTCAAGGCAATCCTGTAAATATTCGACTAATAAAAAATGTCTTCCTTTCTGAAACATATATATGCCAGTTTTCAGCTAAATCATAACGCTTGCCATTGTAATACAAGTTTCCAAAAGTTAATATTCATATAAAAAAATGCATGAACTAGTTTACTGCCAACGTAGTTTTCATAAAGGAGAACATTGTTTATTAGTCGGATATTTCCAGGATTGCCTTGAGGAAAATATTTGATATCAATATTTTAATAATAAAGAATCATGTTGATCTCAAAATGGAATTAATAATATTTTTAATTATTTTTAAAAATATTATTTTAAAATTAGCATTGTAACTATGAGTATTGAATTGATATTGTCGGTGCCAGAATCTTTTTTTGGCAGCCACTGTATAAGATAAATTTATTATTTCGTTCAACCAGATCAGGAAATATTAACATTGGTAAATCTTCCAAAAGGGATCCATTTATAATATGTTGCAATTTTCGTGGACCTTTTTAATAGATTGTCAGTATTTATTTCGCTAGACCATTCGAAAATCTGTTTATGGTAATCAAAGCATAGAGCAGGTCCAATTTTTGACAACGAATAAATTTATTTACATGAGTATTATTTCAAAAATAGAAGCATTTATTACAATAATATTTGAATTTAAATTCCAGCTTTGAGTTCATTTTTAAATGTCATTGCTGTGTTTATGAAGATGAACACCAATGGTGATTTATATGTGTGGAAGTCGACTATTTTTTATTGTTATTCATGAAAAATGACATGCACACAGCATTTGTGTGTATAAATTGATTTTGTATTATTACCGTTATGTATGAAATTGAGACAGAACACATAGAAGAAACCTTTATAATTTCTATTTGTTTATATGTAATAAGCTCCTCTTTTAATTTAGCTGAAATTCTTATATGAATGTGCGTTTAACATATTATGGACGTAATGTGTTTCTTGTATCATTTTTCATCATAAATTGCACAAACGGAAATGAAAACTATAACGACTTCTACGCATATAAATCATCATTTTTTAAAACACTAACATAATCACGGCATCTAAAATTTCAAAAACTCATAATTGTAGTAAATGAGTTTATTGTCAAATTGATAAGTACTGCAACAAATTTTCATATCACAATACTCATGATTGTAGTAAATGTGCTCGTTATAAAGGAAGTGATTGCAGTTGGAGATGTCTAGATTATTACAAACAAATTTATGTGTGGTCAAGCAAAATAAAGCTATGACTGTCTAATATACGAATGTAAGGCAATCATTTCATGGATCTCTTTTGTAAGATTTATCAATGTTGAATATCATACAAAAGGAAATTTGATTAACTCTGAGAACAAATCATAAAACAAAAAAAATAGTTCCAAAATAACTTTAAGAAGGGCAACATTAAGGTTTGATATGCACTCCTTCTGCATTAATACAAGTTTGAATGTACGTAGTTCAGTATCGTCAACCCTTTATATTGTCAACATGACGGGACCAGGCATTTTTGTTGATACATATGTTTTGCATCATGTAAATAAAAACATAGTAATGGTAATCTCTCATGAATTTACATATTATTGACATATGCAAATAAATATATACAAAATGGAAACTAGAAGTTCCTTAAAATTCATTTAATTACTAAGTTTGGAAATAAATAAACATATAATTTTCAAAAATATAATATTTCAGCGATGCATTTGACTGTTTGTTTGTTCAAAAGTAAATCCATAAAACATTTACAAATTTTATAATAAAACACAACTCGAATAATATATAAAATTTATATCAATAAGGGTTATATCACTATCAAACAAAGATCACAAATTTCTGCTCTTCTTTAAGAAGGATTCACTTCCGTTACATCACATCAAAAGAAATATCGCGCAATCTTCTGTTATCCAACTTAAAAAATAGAAACAACTGGTCTGTAAAAGATCTACCAAAATCTGGTTGTCCACGATTTTTTACAGACTTTGGTGAATGTGAGTGGCAAATGTTCTAATGCTGTATCAATTCAAAAAAATTTAAAAAAATATAAACTAATAATAAAATTAATGTAAGCGATAGTAATATAAGAAGAATTTTAATTCTAGCAGAAAACCATTTCTATGTAAACAATAGAACCATATTTAATAAAACAATATCGAAAATTGAATTTAAAATTCGCTAAGAATACAAGGATTGGACAGTGGATGATTGGAACAAAGTGATTTGGTCAAATGAGTCTAAGTTTATGATATATGGGTCAGATGTCATTAATATTATTGGAAATGCAAAAATGAATCACTAGATGACATTATGTAAAACCTACGGTTAAATTTGGTGGCAAAAATATTATGATCTGGGGTTGCTTTTCTTCCTTCATAGTACACATTCTTGGCTCCAATGATAAGAATTATACTGTGAAACTTTGAATGATGACTTTTTAGGAACTATCGAGCATTACAAGTTGGATAAGAGTAATATTGTTTTCCAACAGGAGAATTATCTGAAACTCACAGCTAATTCAACAGAGCAACGGTTTTATGATAATGTTCCTGACCTCAACCCTATAGAAAAAATCCGGAATGAGATATACATTCGAGAAGATTAAAAAATCCAGTTCGCACTCAAGATGAGTTATGAAAAGCTATTCGATAGAAACGGATTATGACTTTTTAACTAGTCCAATTAAAAGTATGTCTGAACGAATAAATGAAGTAATCGAGGCTAAAGAGGGTAAGTGGTAAAAAATAGTTTATTTAAATTCGTCGTTAGTTATTTAAATATCGGCTTAAAATTATTTGCATCGTAAACAGTCAAAAAAAATGCATCGATCATTATTATTTTAATTTACGAATTATTAACCAAGTAAAGAATTACATGTACATGTATATTGCAAAATTTGTACGTAATATGTGTCGGAATTGTGAGTTTCAGATGTTTGTATGTAATGTTATTGAATTTCTAATTTTATTTTTGTGTGATGTATTTAGTATTTTATTGGTCCACGTTACACATATGTGCAGAATTTTCTGAGCAAAAATGCAGTAACGATAAGTTGGACACTCTAGGACTAGCATTAATAATCCTAATCAGTCAAATGAAAGCTAATATTATTACTATCGAGAGCAGTCTTTTTTTCAATAACATATCGATATCGTATAAACGGATTAAGTACATGTATTGTATTTTACGATAAGATTCTAATGAATACGAACGTAATTGTTAATTAGCAAAAATGGTACATGTATCTTCAAATTTTTCTACATGTACATTGTGCAGCTGTAAGGAGTACGTGATACATGTATATGTTCATACTGTATCGATATATACGTTCACTGTACATGTACATGTATTTTGTACAACTATGATTATAACGATAAGGTTACGTAAGTGGGGAATTTCATGATAAATGTTTGTGGCTACGTAATTTACTCAATCTCGTAATTTAGAAGCTTTCAGTTATAATGTACTGTAAGTAACAAAACATTTCAAAGTAATAAGAGATTCATGTAGAGACAAGTATAAATTTCTATTCAATATGAAATATCATTAAGATTATTCAAAGATTATAATAATCAATAAAAGAAAAATAGAGATCTTAAACAACAAGCTTTTTGCCTGCTTTTGTTCGCAATAGTCTTGTTGTTGATACTACAGCATCTTTTCATTGTTAATGTTGACTGCTAATCAAATAGCTAAGATTTAAGAAGATAAATATTTTTCTTATCGTTATTATTGTTATAACTGCATGCATAATAGAAAAAAGTAGTGCTATGCATCTGTATGTGCTCCTTTTATTATTTTGTTTTTTTTACATGTACATGTATTTACAGGCGTACATGCAAGCAAGTCAAAAAAGATACATGTACTAAAATAATATTATACGGTATTGATTTCAATACATGTACGTACGTACTTATAATCGAATTTTTCTTATAAATACGACTTCTTAAATTCTCTAAAAAAAAAAAAATTAAATTCACATTCTTCAAATCATATCTCACGCAAAAATGAATTTACAATGCGACAATCGGTTTCTTGCATTCTTGATTATCATTCTCTTTTTATCCATGGTTGCTGCAGCACCTATTCTTGAAAAAAATCCAACACCTTTGATAAGCGTTGGGAGTGGTAGTATAATTACCGCTGCCCCATTGCAAGTTTGCGGAAGTGCTGCTGCAATGGGGGGAGTTGGTGTTACTATAAATAGTCCAAGTCCTCATACCATTTTGGATGATTGCGACAATGCAAATGTAGCCATTGATTGATCTGGTACCGTTGATTTGAAATTTTTAACTGGTTTATATAGAGTTTTTTATTACTATACTATTAATTTCATATGTGATGTTATAAATAACAATTTCACTGTGAGCTGAGTGCAGTAAAAGTAAAAGGGGAAGGGAATCAAAAATTTTTTATCTCAAATGATGTAAATAACTCGGAAACATTGTTTTCCTAATAAAATTTTGCGTTATAATGGAAGTATTATAAAAATTGATTGTCAGCCGGACAGATCTAATTAAATTTATATCGAATTGACTCTACATGTATCGGTATGTTCCAAACTTACCATCAATTTTTTTTTGGATTACCAAACAAAAATCAACTAAAATAAAGATATATCGAGTATTTTTTCAAAAACGACTATAACATTATTAATAAAACGCGCACCTTATTAAATGAAACCGGTAAGTATTGTTCTAAGTCGTAATTTATTTAACATTAAAGTATGATTTTGTGGAAAAAATTGGTTTTTTAGTTCCATTAAAATCGGAAACTAAAAAATTATCTGATTACTTTGGGACATAATAATCTCACAATTCACTAATCCGATACAGACAAAAAAATACAGTGGCTCACACATGTAACGGAACACGAAAATCAACTTTCTGGCATTTTTTATTTCCATGACTATTAGTTTGGACAAAACAAAAAAGTGTTCATTTGAAACCTGAAACCTCTAATATTTTTAAAAATAATTTGACAACAGATTATTTCGTGAAATAGAGTGATTTAAATCAAAATTTACAATTAGTAAATTTCTCACATTGAAGAACTTTTTTCTATGACGGATCCAAATTTGAACCAC